AAAGGCCCCGACCCCGGGGTAGTTTTGACCAATAAAAAGCCCGACGGGGGGATAGTCCCAGGCATCAAACCCCCCCCCCTTGCCCCCACCCCCCCCCCCCCACGGGATTTACATTGATAGGTGCATTAATACAACTGTTTAAATATGAAGTAGAAACCAGAATGCTTGGTACAGCCAACAATATGGACAAAACCCACACGGCGGCTAGCCAAAAGTAAACTAAACGTGTCGAAATAGCTGGTTTGAACGGGTCGGTGATGGCGAAGCATCGATGAACCGCCATGACAGTGAGTGTGAACACGCTCACTCCAAAAGCTACCGTGATTAAAGGCGCAATAAGCTTGCAGAACACCACCGAGGGATAAAATTTTCCGATGATGATGTAGATTTGAAAAGGTAAAAAAATACTATCAGAATGAAGGTTAAGAGTGAACAATTCGTGTGGACGTCGCCTTCTTATTGTCTTGAAACCAGTGACAATCAAGACACTTACGTTTCCTATACAACCAAGGATAAAAGTTGCAATATACAGACCGAAAGTCAATTTTAACCATAAAAATTGCCTGTCGTTATTATTAGGTACCAGTGAGGACAACCTAAACGGCAGCACTTCTGATGATGTGTTGTTCATCCTATTCTTGTACAGTTTGTTTGCTGTCTGCACCCTTTTAAGAATGTCAACTGTTCTCTTATCCCAAAATTGAGCAATTTTTCTGGCAAACGTGCTTTAAAGAAGCGACGATCCATCTGTCTTATTCTTAAAATCTACTTCTTGTTTGCTGTCTATATATATGATAGGTGCATAGCATTCTTTTTGCAAAATTGAAAAACAAAAGCTGCAAATGAGGTGGAACTCTATCCTGCGGTGGCATTATACACATATATGAGTTGCATTTAGAAAAAACAAATTAGATCTGAGAAATTTTTACGACAGGTGCAATTGGAAGGGTTGTTCGAAATCAAACACAGCAGATATGGAATAAAATTATTTATTACAAAGCTGTCATCTACTTGATAGCGGAGCTACCCATCCCAGAAAATTTGGTTATCACGTGAACGTACACCGACCGACCGACCGCCGACCGTCCGTCCGCACCACAGGACAACCAATGTTTACTCTCACACTTTTAGCTACTTTGGGAGCCCAAGAGAAAACTAATTGCACATCAATGTTGTGATCAATTGACAGCTATCAAAACAGGGCATCCGCTGACCAGTATCACCTGACTGACCGCGGGCTCAAGTGTCGACCCATCGAGGTCGAGTATTTTTTTAAAGTTATCCGCTGACAAATTACCAGTTTCAAATGATCGCAGGCTCAAGTTTATTTTTCCAAGGATTCATATCAAATATGTTGTGTTTATGTCACTATGGCCCCGCACTATTAGGATTTTGATTTCAAACTGACCTCGGAAGGGAAAATTCATCCAGTTTTTTTAAAAGTACAGGCGGGGAAGACCTTATCTTACCATGGTCACGCGTTGGTCACGCTCTACGTGCAATTTTTATACCCTGATTGGTCAAAATTTGACAGGTGTGTTCATGCGGAAAAATTATGCAGCATCTTGAAAGGGAACCTCCAATTCAACAAAAAGATAACTTTAAATCACAGGAAATAACTGTTACAGTCAAGTCAATCTAAAATATTTTTAAAGAAAGCGTTTGTATCCGAAAGAAATAACTTCTAGATTCGCCTATTTTTGTTTTCAAATTTTGCGGGCGTCGCCATTTTGAATAATTGTGAAGTGTTACGGTTGCCCTATTGTTATTAAACAAAAGCTCTTTGTGTCAGAACAATAGAGCAACCGTAACACGTCACAATTATTCAAGATGGCGGTTCCCGCGAAATTTGAAAGTGAAAATAAGCGATTTTAAAATTCACTTTTCCTGATATAAACACTTTTTTTAAGGACAAATTTCGAACAAATTTGTTTATCAACATAATTTTATTCGATTTCAACTTATTCTGTAGTAAGAGTGGAGGTTCCCTTTAAAGTTGTTTACTTTGACAGCCGAAGCTGACAGAGTTTTGTGTCAACTTGTGATGTTTTTAACGTTTTTTTTCCCTCTGGATGTACAAAATGAAATACAGCTGCTATCAAGAGTCTTCTGTTTTTCATGGCTGGTTTGTTTACTGGGTTTTTGGTTGAGAAATGCGTCGCTTGTCAAAATTCGGTAATTCGATTGCGGATGGCATCGTTTTCAGTTTTTCACCTTGCTTAATGCGTAAGAGGGTTTAAAAGTCTCAAGCAACTGTGGCCTTCCTTGATAGCTTTCAGGAACTGAATCTCGAATGGTAAGCCTAAGTAATTATTGTATTTGATGTTTGTTTTTGAAGTCTTGCATAGTTCACGCTGACAGTTTATGCGGCAAGTTTATGCACGTTTGTAGGATTTGAGTCAATGATCTGACCTAGTATCAAGTTTGATATAAGCTTACAGAACTTTAAAAAGCCTTCAGATATATTTGCTCACCACAAATAGAAAGAAAACTTTCCTAAGAATATTTAGTTATAAATTTGGCTGTAGAAAGAAAACTTTGAGCGATTTTCTTGCTTCGAGGAGTTCGCGTTCGAAAACAGTAAACACCGCGCCGGGAAGCAGGCTTAGCTTTACGCTTAAAGACTCAAGATTTTTAGAGACACTTTAATACTTGTCTTCGTTAATGAAAAATTGTTGTCTCTGTAAATGTTTCACGGAATTATATCTCTTTTTTTTATTGTTAGTAATCTCTCTTGCAATTTTAATCGCTTGTTCGTGCCGTTTGTTTTCATCGTTCATGACCATCGCTTGCAGGAGTACTCAAAAATGTCGCGCGTATCAAATGCTTTATAAGATTACACATCGTTATAACTGAAACCATTAAATAACAAAACAAATAACAATAAATTCGCTATTATGTTGAAGCATAACTCTGTTAAAGTTCATTCAAAAACTCGACCACACTGACAGCTCGCACTATAGAAACGAGAACCAGCTGGCCGTATGGGTGATTTTGGAAATTTTTGAACGGTTTCGCTTAAAGCCCACAATTGATCGTCCTGAATATTGACTGAGTGCAATTTGTCTTGAAAAATTGTGAAATACCGCATTCTGTCCTAGGTGTGTATGGTAAATAGTACTGTTTCACCTCAAATGTGATGTATAAAAATTATAAAAGGTTGATTTAAACACCCCCAGATTTGTTGGCAAGAATTTGTAAAGTAAACCTGTCGAATGCAAAAAAAATTGGCGTGATTTGTTTTCCAAGAATTTGTTTTCGAGGCCTAATCTACTGTGATCTTGAATGTGATCGAAGATGTTTGCTATTTTTTGGGTGTACATATAAGGTTATCAATTCGATGTAAGATGTTTCACTCTAAAATAACTTATCCTTTCCCTCAAAAGTCACATGAATGTGCCCTTAAAGCTCCTTAAGTTAACTGATTTGTGGATTAAAAGTTTATTGTTTGATTTAAATTATTAATTTATTAATTGGAGCTTCGCTTTTAGCCCTGGCTAAATCTATATATTAGGTTTCAGATAAGAAAACATCTCTTAAAGAAAAAAGAAAATGGACTTATGGTGGGAGTGGTTCAGAAATTACTGAATTTTAAGACACAAAATGTGGTAAAAATACTGCTGAGCGAGATTATTTGTCACTGTGTCAAAAATACTTTTTACGAAGATAATTGGTTTGGTTTTTCAACCACCCACCTTTCAGCTCGGCAAATGTCTCCTTTTGTTTGATTTGCGCACTGTAAAACTGTGAAGTAGTTTCTCGTTTCTGAGATCATCTTCTTCATATTATGAAACAACATTTTTACTTCATTCTAAACACTGAACTTTGGTGAACGATACTTTCTCAAGTACATTTTATTGAACTAACTATTAATTGTTGATCTGATTTACAACACTCTACTTTTAATTTGTATAAGAACAACCACCACCTCTTCTATCACCGACACCCCCGCGCTATTACTGAACAAAACAAGTGGGGGAGCAATACTGACCATCTCTGTTAATAATTAATCAGTTGAATAGAAGCGAACAAAGTTAGGCTCTAGATCCCCCATGTAAGGTAATCCAAGATAGTCCTTAGAATTATTCAACTTCAACTTCAACTTTATTCATTCAATCTCAATTTACAGTTTCACGATAGCTTCCACCCGCTTATAGGAGAGCCTAATCGAGGCGGGTGAAGAGACACACAAATTTAAAGAAAGGAAAGGAAAAAAGAAATATTTTACAAACAGTACCAGCTGTCGCAAAATAAAAACTATAACATGTATTAAGCTAATTTAATTACAATATGATTTACACAGAGAACATAAGTTTAGTCGTGTTCCTGAGCTAGTTAAATTTAAGCTTATGCATGATTTCAGTGATTTCAAGATAGTCATCAGATTTAGATAAAATTTCAAAGAGCTCATTCCTTATCTTTTTCCGAAAGGTAGATTTTCTCATATCTGAGGGTAAAGTATTCCAGATTTTTGGTCCAACTCTTAGAAAATAACTACGCATTTTTTCAAGCCTTGAGTGTTCAGTATAGAAATCATCATTGAGAGAAGATCGGGTAGGATATGAGTGTACCTCAGAAATCCTAGTAAAGGTTCGCTTGATATTTTCAGGTGCAGAATTGTTATCAACGTCCCACATGATACTACAAAGACAATCAAAGTAAATAAAAGATAGGAGAAAGACTTTCGAACTTAAGAAAAATGGTACAGCATATTGCTTATAATCCGTAAAGTAAATCAGGCGTACGGCTCGTTTTTGAATTAAGAGCATCTTATTTAAATAAATTTTAGGTGCAGAGCACCAAGCACAGATGCCATGATAAAGATAGGGGTTGATAAGGGCTTGATAGATATTTAAGAGGGGACGTAATGGAATATTTTGTCTAAGCTTTGCTAGAATTCCCAAGGTTCTACTTATCTTTAAACAGATTAGATTAATGGGATTCCACGCTGCAGATTCCGGATTTTAGATCAGGCTGGATCCTGGATTCCTTGTCAGCGGAACTTGGATTCTAGGTTTCAATTGTTAGCTAGAACTGGATTCCGGATTTCAAAAGCCCAGGATTCCAAATTCCAGAGGCAAAAAATTTCCCGGATTCCGGAATCCCAATTACCTTACAATGGAGCGTTTCTAGATCTGGAACTTTAGATCACTTCGCGTGGCTTCCTCACGTAAAATAAATAACGTGTAGCTAGTGATTTTATTAGTAACACGACCATATGGTAGTGAAATGAGGGAAGTAAGATGATGTTAAAGCATGCAGAGAAAATGTGCAGAGTTGTGACGACGTTGGTGAGGAGAATTAAGATAGAAGTTTGATGCATAAAAAAGATATCCCGCAATGTTAAAGCTCTCGCCAAAACAGCAAGCTTTTTGTGTCATAGGCATTAACCGTCTGTTTCACCTATGGTAAAAAAAAAATCACAATCACCCTAGATTCAAACAAAAGGATTACTTATTTCCAGTTTACCCAAGGCAGGCTTTAGACGTCCTGAAAATGTTTTATTGTGGGGTAGTTGTGATGCGGGTGCTGAAGCCCCTACTCAAAGTAGGTGGTCGTCTTCACTCCTTGTGTGACTAGATTTCTCTCTTAATATCATAGGTGATGAATTACTCCTTAATTTTGGCGCGAAATTTCAGCAATAATTTGTAATTTCACGTGTAAATTACAAAATTGCCATGGCAATCTCCCTTACGTCTCAGTGTCAAGGTGGCGACGAAGTTTTAAAATGTCATGAATGAAGATGCCAGGGCATAAAAAGACGCTTTAGAAAACCTGAACTCACGAAAGAGCACATCAAGAAGGATTCTAACAGGTATTTTGTCGAAAAATTCTGAACTTAAGCCAAATTTAAGCTTTAAACGTTCGAGAGTGTGGAGATCTCGATCGATACGATCCCGGATAAACATGTCAGAAATCCAAGATTGCTAAGGTAATTCGTCACCCATGATATTAACAGGTAGTCAAATGGTGTACTCGCGAAATTAGGGAATAATATCACTTGCGTTTTGTCCAAATCCTTATAATTTCCCGAGCCTTTATAAGGATTTGGACAAAACGCAAGTGAAATTATTCCCTAATTTCACTCATGACCATTTGATTACACAAACTAACCTTCCTTCCATAGACAGTTTGTCGCGTAAGCATTATGGATGATAATAGGTTGATTTAGCAAAAGTCGACGAAGGCACGCGCAAATCAGACAACTGTTTTGACCAATGACAGAGCAGCAAATTGAGCACCGGAAGTCGTGTTTAGGCCTTTCCGCATGCTGTCCCGTCGTCAAATGACGTTCCCGTCCTGTTGCTAAATCAGCTTATTATGGAGTGTTACACCCTGTAGTTTTGTCGGAAAACTCTTGCAGACCAGTCTGCAATTTGTTCGTGATATACTGTAAGCAGTAAAGCAGTCGTCTATATTCCAAGTGAGATAGAAATAACTCCTTTATTAAATTTTAACTATCATGAAGAATAACCACAATCTCTCTCAACTGATGAACTATGAGATAATCTGCCCAAAAGTGCTTGAATCTAATAAATCATTTATACTGGCTCACTACAATCGTCGCAGAAAAATGAAAGTGACTTCAGAGACATTGAAAACCTACTTCTAGTAATTCGCAAAACCAAAACGTTTTCCTTTCCTCTAGCCTGAGAAAAACAGCCTACATTTCGCGACGCCACAACTGGTTTCCTCGCGAAATGATGTATGAGGAACGAGCGTAGAAATTCCATACTGATGACGCGTCACTACCTAGATTTGGAGGGTACTTCTGATTGGTTGAAGCATACTTCAATTTTTGCATTATATTTTACAATATATGTGCATGACGTAATGAGCTATTGTCTCAGTTAAGTATATAAATATTAACCAAGGTTAAGATCTTACCTTCTAATTTGATATCAACCATGACGAACCTTTCCTTCTGGATCGGAAAAGAATTTCAAAATTTGAAAGTTGAAATTATTATTAAAAAGCGCACATACTCCGGCGCTGGCGCTAGAGAAGCTGCTAAATATGGCGGAATACCCCTACTCCGCGGACCATGTGTGCTCTTTGTCTTTTGTACAATGAACTTCTTGTAGAAAATAAACGGCATATTTCTTCATCTTAAGCCAACGGAAGGTTTCACGCTTTTTCATGATGTTCGACAAACCTCTCACGTTTAATGAGCAGATTACTAATTCGGCGTTGTATAGGATGNGAGAGTGTGGAGATCTCGATCGATACGATCCCGGATAAACATGTCAGAAATCCAAGATTGCTAAGGTAATTCGTCACCCATGATATTAACAGGTAGTCAAATGGTGTACTCGCGAAATTAGGGAATAATATCACTTGCGTTTTGTCCAAATTTGGACAAAACGCAAGTGAAATTATTCCCTAATTTCACTCATCACCATTTGATTACACATACTAACCTTCCTTCCATAGACAGTTTGTCGCGTAAGCATTATGGATGATAATAGGCTGATTTAGCAACAGAACGGGAACGTGAGTTGACGACGGCACGCGCAAATCAGACAACTGTTTTGACCAATGACAGAGCAGCAAATTGAGCACCGGAAGTCGTGTTTAGGCCTTTCCGCGTGCTGTCCCGTCGTCAAATGACGTTCCCGTCCTGTTGCTAAATCAGCCTATTATGGAGTGTTTCACCCTGTAGTTTTGTCGGAAAACTCTTGCAGACCAGTCTGTAATTTGTTCGTGATATACTGTAAGCAGTAAAGCAGTCGTCTATATTCCAAGTGAGATAAAAATAACTCCTTTATTAAATTTTAACTATCATGAAGAATAACCACAATCTCTCTCAACTGATGAACTATGAGATAATCTGCCCAAAAGTGCTTGAATCTAATAAATCATTTATACTGGCTCACTACAATCGTCGCAGAAAAATGAAAGTGACTTCAGAGACATTGAAAACCTACTTCTAGTAATTCGCAAAACCAAAACGTTTTCCTTTCCTCTAGCCTGAGAAAAACAGCCTACATCTCGCGACGCCACAACTGGTTTCCTCGCGAAATGATGTATGAGGAACGAGCGTAGAAATTCCATACTGATGACGCGTCACTACCTAGATTTGGAGGGTACTTCTGATTGGTTGAAGCATACTTCAATTTTTGCATTATATTTTACAATATATGTGCATGACGTAATGAGCTATTGTCTCAGTTAAGTATATAAATATTAACCAAGGTTAAGATCTTACCTTCTAATTTGATATCAACCATGACGAACCTTTCCTTCTGGATCGGAAAAGAATTTCAAAATTTGAAAGTTGAAATTATTATTAAAAAGCACACATACTCCGGCGCTGGCGCTAGAGAAGCTGCTAAATATGGCGGAATACCCCTACTCCGCGGACCATGTGTGCTCTTTGTCTTTTGTACAATGAACTTCTTGTAGAAAATAAACGGCATATTTCTTCATCTTAAGCCAACGGAAGGTCTCACGCTTTTTCATGATGTTCGACAAACCTCTCACGTTTAATGAGCAGATTACTAATTCGGCGTTGTATAGGATGGCTTGTGGATGCTTATAAACAAAGCAATTGAAAAACGTAGAGATGTTTCACAGTGTGTTTCAAGTATGCAACTAATTTGTATGACCAAGAGAGGATAAAGGGGACAGACAAGGCATCCCCCATACACACCCTATTCCATAGGTAATTCGTCTCGAGTTATTTTTAAGACCATAGATCCCAAGGGGGATTAGACAACAGCCAATCACATAGAGCGAATGTGTTCCGCGTGGATGACCCACGCTCAGAGCCACGCGTCCTTCACGAATTGACGCAGAAAAAAATGGCGGAACACGCGGAGAACGATATTGCTATTTGTTTTGTCGAAGAAAACGACTAAAGAGAGATTTCTGCTCAAGCTGTGTCAGCGAAACGGAAATTAAAAAAGATTAGCCCTTCCCGTCTTGTATAGAGCTAACAGTACAGAAAGGAAATCCTTAACACACTGAATACTCTCAGGATCGTTTATAATTTATAGTTTGAAGAGAGCAATTTCTGGTTTGATGTTTACTCTTTTATTAGTCTTTTATTATTCAACAAAAATAACACTTGGCGTCCTACCTGCTTTATTATACAAACGACCGGTTTCAATTAATAGACCGGCGAAATTTCTCATTTTATTAAAGCTGAGGTTACGACAACTTCGAGTTAAACTGATTTCACGGGTTGTCAAAGAGTCCAGCGATTCCCTTTTCCCATTTGAGCGCCGACTTATTTCGCTTCAATATTCAGAAATGCTCTCGATCTCTTTACGCTTTCATTGCCTTTCGCCCGACATGTTTTGCACGGCGTTTAGTCATGCGAAACCTCCACGAAACATCCACGCAGCGCGCGAGGTAACTTTATCCCGATTCTAAAATAACTCGAGACGAATTGCCTATGGAATAGGGTGTGTATGGGGGATGCCTTCTCTGTCCCCTTTATCCTCTCTAGGTATGACTAAACAAAAAAAATAAATATTGCCACCAAAAACAGAAAGGTACGAGGCTAAAATAAACAAAAAAATCAAGCAAAACATTAAAAGTCCGTTGGTTGGGTCCAGCCGTACGTTCGCGTGACAATGGAAAAACAAAATTTAGATTAAATGTCTCGATTAAGCATGTGTACTGGATTGAGGAGGCCTAAGGTCTTCAGGGATATTACTTCCTTTGTAAATAACATTGTCGATAATAAGCTTTCTATCGATAACTTTTGCGCTCAAACCTCGCTCCTTTGCTTGGAACATCGCTTTGATTAATATTTTCCTTTCCTGCTGTATCGCTTTTGCGTAATCTTAGGTTATGTAGTACATCCCGTTAGCTCTCGATGAATCTTTCAACCTGTTTCTCGCTTTAAAAACTGTGTCTCTGTCTTCCCTGCTGAGGAAGCGTGAAATAATTGGTCTCGGGAAGCTTTTGGAGGCGTCTTCTGAGCGCGGTTTCCCAACACGATGAACTGCATGGAAGTGGATATCTTCTACATTGATATTCATGTCATTTTCTATTATATCATACACTACATCCATGCAATTTTGGTCATTGCGTTCAGGTACTAAGATTAATAAATCGAAGATTCTCGCGTCTAAAACAGTTCTCCAAAGCGATAATTTTCTCCTGTTCTTCAAGCAGCCTTGTTTTCAAATTTTCGATTTCAGCTTGTTGGCTGTCAACTTTTTTGAGGTTTACTTTGAGCAGGTCCAGTTCTTGGCGATGAGTGTCGAGGCTTTGTTGGCATGTTTTCTTGTAGTCGTTGTGGGTTTTTGTTTCTTCTTGGATGTCGTTGATTGAATCCCAAGCCGCCTCTAGAGATTTTTCTACGTCTCTCAGGGCCTTATCACACCATCAAGTTCTTGTTTCATTTCGTGTCTCAAGATTGAAATTTCGGATGTCAGGTTTCCAAAATGCTCTTGCATTTGGTTATCTAAACGAGAAAGTTTGTCCATAATTTGCTTAAACTGCTCCAGGCTAAGGGCTTCAGATTGTTTGCTGTTTTCCATCACAGTGCTGCTAGAACGACGATTTCTTTTGGGCGATGGCGTCTGTTGTGAAGACGAGCTTGATGATCTGTTTTCTCGCTCGTTTCTTTTAGACATTAGAGGCTGTCGGGTCTATGCCAGATTTTGGCATCGATGTTTCATTACCAAGATATTAGAATACAGAAATGACCCAAAATTCAACGGTACGCGTACTTCCCGTCCACAAATTTACGCAGTGACAGTGACACGTCTTGCCGCCATGGTTGCTCGACCCAAGTCTACCAAGTTATCGGCTCTTTCAACTTTGCAAGTGCCCTGCTGGCCGCACATATTGAACGTAACAGGATTTGAGAAACTTAATTTCGATTGCGATTGTGTCTTGGCATTGTATTTGTAATAAAAGGCGCCTGTCATCTTTAATCTCAGAAGCCTTTACATTACAGAAGCACTCCCGGTGGCTGTCTTGTTTAAACTTTAAAGTGCCACTACGATCAAATCTTTGACTACCATTTTTGTTCGCCAGATTGGTAGTTTAGTACTTGAAGTACATGGTGTGCAAATTATAGCTTCATACGATTAAGGAAAGTGGTATCTTTTGGCGCTCAAAAACCATTAATTTTCGTCCGCCATTACAACGCCATGTTCCTTTGGCCCGGTTACCAAGAACACAAGGCAATTGCTTTGTGACGTCATTTACTTAACGCAGTACACACAGCATGATAATTTTCTTCCAAGAACCCTGCTCAAGAATGTTCCCTTTCCTCCCACTTCGATGCGTTCTTGTTTAGACAAACTCTTTCGATCTTACTACATTAGGCTCCGTATGTGTGCAGCAACCGCTTCAATCGATAGAATTGTGCTGCATGCGAGTCTGACCAACTGAATGTGAGATTCGAGGAATAGGTTTGTTTCCAGCTGACAGTTTCGCTGTTTTCTCGGCTTGATAACTTCGAAGAGTGCTGCAATAGCATTTACGGGGCTTTCAACGGAAACCAGTGGCGGAAAATTAAACTTGGATCGTTTGCTAGCATTTGGAAGAAAGATGAATCGACAGATCTTGAATCCGGAAAGAAATCTTCGCATAAAGAGGGAGCGCATGGAGGTAAGCTTACAGTTCGCAAAACTTGCAGTGAATGTCCCCAACGCTAAGTTTATTTATATCGCCGGTGGTGATTTTTGCTTTTACTACAGGCGCAGTCATCGAAGATAAATTTTTTCTTAGACCTTTCTTCGACTGGAACGCGACGACTACGAAACTTTTAGGAAACTTTCAAAAAGATTTGCACCTAAGGCAACAGATCACAGAGAGACCTCTAGTTTTGTAAACAATATTATTGCTCACACCTTGCTCTTGTAGTGTACTATTTTTTCTGTTACCACTATTAACATTCCTTTGAGCTTTCATAAAAAGCTTTAAAGCTCTATTTGTAAATTTTTATTATAAAATATTAAAATCTATCAGGATCATAGTGCAATCTGAATGGTATGATATTTTAATATACAGTAAATTCCTTAGTATTTCCAACATTCTTGTTGCCATAACCCTCACTAAACAAAAGGCATACTTTTTTCAGTTTTAGTGTTCCCAAAACTCAGAGCCTGATTTAAACTGCACAGACACATTGTCAGTTCAAACCACAAGCTAAAGCAAGAGAGTCCACACAAGTTTATTGCAAAAACTGTTTTTGCAATTTTGTAAAATACAGCAAGAATTATTACCATTTACTGATGTGGTCTGTAAAATAAAATTGTGATCCTATCTTGAATGTTGTGTATTGTTATTCTTTTGAGTGAATAATGAAAAGTTTTGCAATCTTGCACTGAATACTTATAATAATTATAATTATAGTATATCATAATTTGAGATGTAAACTCCAACACAGGGGCACTCATGCACTGAAGCACTTAAGTGATGTGACTGGCAGATTGCAAATGAATAATCACCAAGGCTTGGTCACTGCAATATTTACTGCATCTGAGGGTTATATACTACATGTATGAGATAGTTTCATGGCCCCGCTCATTACTGCTGCTTTATGTTTCACTACTCAAGGTTGTGCTCTACCAGCACCCAGTTGGCCCGTGGTGCTTAACTATTGTTCCGGGGGAACTAGGAAGTTTTTTCATAGAAATCATGTGCTGGGCACCCAGGATTTCATGGGTCTAGAGCACTGGGTTCTTTTCAATTTTTCTTAGAGCACAGCCTTGCTACTTCAAAAAACCTTGGTGTGTGTATCTTTTAATATGGAATAGACTAATGTTATTCCTATAAATGATGAAGCTTCATGGCCCCTTATTACATACAAAGGTACTGTCCACCCTTCTGTAACAATAATTGATCTGCACACTTGTTGATCACAAGATAAATGTGAGGCCCCAGCTAAGAACCTGGAGGACAAGTTTTGGTCTTACCTACCGTGTGCAATATACAAACCCATTATTTTTTAGTCATACCAGTGATTACAATAAACAAGCTAAGGGCTGTAATACTGTTTAAAGGCTGCAATTTTATTGCTCTTTGCTGCCTGATTTAGCATAGTCTATTTTGGGGGTATTATATAGCCTGAGCCAAGCTAGGGCAGGGCCCACACAGGGCAAAGGGGCTTCCCCACTTTTTGAAAAATAAATAAATAAAATTAAGTACAGTGGAACCTCGATATAACGAAGGGCCAAGGGACTGGCAAATATGTTCATTATAACAAGGTTTGTTAACTTATATCGAGGTTCTTTTTCATATTGCCTTATATTTTACTATTACTGGAGTAAAAAAAAATAGTTTATTAGACCAAGGACTTCGTTATAGAGGTTCCATTGTGATATACATATCATGTCAATAGTAACTTTGTTGGAATAAGAATCTTTCAGCATCTAAATTTATTATTGGTCCGTTTTGATCCCATCAGTCTGATGCATGGGAAACCTCAAAAAGTCAATCGTCCTAGATTTCTGCATTTTCAAACCAAAGGTATGTAGCATTTGCAACCATGCGGAATAGTCTTTTTTGATGAAGGTTCTTGATTAAATCTGAAGACTACTCCGTGAACTACAGTATCTTAAAACGAATTATATCAGCTGATGATGTGGTCTCTGGCACATTTCAATGACATGCTAGACAAAATGAAGACGTTACAGGAACCTACAGTGTAATATCATGATCTGCAAACTTCTAATGGTGGATTCAGCATCTGCAATCACGCTCAGCAGGAGAAAGGTACTTTTCAGCGGCTTGAAATTTATGAACATGACTCTGCTCAACAATGACTCAAGAAAGGTTCCGTAATCTGACAGTTCTAAACAGCCACAAAGAGAGAACAGCCAAATTTGCTCTCAACCACCCCCACCCCCGCCCCCACTTCAATGTAGGTGGTCACCGGCCCGCGCATCCCAGGCCCTCTTAGGGGTTTTAACTCTTAAAAATGCTAGTTTCTAATAATATTTTACGATGGAAAAAACCAACAAGAAAAACCCANGTGTAATATCATGATCTGCAAACTTCTAATGGTGGATTCAGCATCTGCAATCACGCTCAGCAGGAGAAAGGTACTTTTCAGCGGCTTGAAATTTATGAACATGACTCTGCTCAACAATGACTCAAGAAAGGTTCCGTAATCTGACAGTTCTAAACAGCCACAAAGAGAGAACAGCCAAATTTGCTCTCAACCACCCCCACCCTCGCCCCCACTTCAATGTAGGTGGTCACCGGCCCGCGCATCCCAGGCCCTCTTAGGGGTTTTAACTCTTAAAAATGCTAGTTTCTAATAATATTTTACGATGGAAAAAACCAACAAGAAAAACCCACAGAGTACAATCAAGGATGGGCCTCCATGATGAACATAATTTCCACTGTGTAACACTTCTTCCTAGAGGCGAGTGAATTTATGGCACACTAATTTTTGGTATATTTTAAAAAGTGTTATCAACTTTGGGCGAGTATATATTTCGTGATTTCTATCAGAGTTTTTGTATTAGTAAAGCAAAATGTATCCTCTCCTTTCCTATCTATCTCCTTTATGCGCACCAGTTACCGTCCTGGTAACGAGTAGATTTAAAATATTCAGTGCTTCAGCTTTAATTTGATACCAATCTCACTAGGTACCAAGGAGGATGCTACGAAAATCCATTTTAGGTTTCTTTTTGGGAATTCGCTTATGGACTAAAAGACATCTATGAATGACTTTTTTGAGCTAAAATTCGCCGTTATTTTATTTGGATAACCTAGGAAATCGTCATTTATGTTACCTAGAATTACAACGGCTATCACTATGTTTTCAGCCTCATACAAATTAGGAATAGTCAGTGACAGATACTTTTCGTTGTCATGGTGTTCTGGCTTTCATCTACCGCCTGAGAAATTCTTCTAGCTCCAGGTCTCCAGTTCAGACTTCACCGTCACCATCTTATTATACATTTTTTTTTTCAGTATATACAACCTGTAACGTGACAAAAACAAACAAATAAATCAAATCAAATCACTTGTTGAAGACGAAAACAGATTTCAGATATCTGATGTATTGTCGCCGAAAGAACTTAGTTATAGTTCCGTAAATGATTGGATTCACGCATGCGTGTAAATACGCTGCAATATCAGCCATCCTTAGCAACACACTGGCTACTTTCTTATATTCGGCAGGTCCAAAGTCCGATATAAACCACGCCAGTTGAATTGGCAGCATAAATACTGCGAACAATATAACAATAATTCCCATCATCTTGATGATTTGAAGATCCTCTTTTCGCCGTATTTTTAAGCCAAACCGATCCTGTGCGTCAGAGTCATGGCGCTTTTTCGCCCTGCCTATTTCAATCCCAATCATGATATAAGCACCTGTGATAGTTATAAGTGGTATGACGTACTGTAATGCAAACAATGTAGCAGTGTATATGCGACTTTGGTACGGTCTCCAGGATTCTGTACATCCTCCTCTCTTAGCCTCTCCCACTATTATGAGTGGAAGTAAAAGAAGAAACCCAGTCATCCAAATGAGAATAATCCACATGATAACATATTTATGTCGCATTTCCGGTTTAAGCGAATTGATGATGACTCGGCAGCGGTGAACTGCCATAAAGGTCAACGTAAAGATACCAACATTAAACGTAACTGTGACGAGGGGGCAGATGAACTTACAGAAAAACAGCGGAAAATCAATCCCACCAAAAAGCAAGACGTTAACGGGTAAAGAGAGCAGCAGCAGCGTTAAGTCAGACATGGATAAATTAAAAATAAGTATATCGTTTACGGATTTGCGATGCTTCTTCCAAAGAATGACAAGGACTAGCGAATTTCCAGTAACTCCAAGCAGAAATGTAAGCGCGTATAAAGCCAGCTTTATCTGTTTTTCTGTTTCGCTCACTGATGAGAAGTTCGTAGGGTGCCCAGCCATTGATACTAGTGTAAAAAAAGAGAGACTTAAGGTGAGACATGGTACTGTAAATTCTGAAAGGCAAAACTAACTTACAGGCGAAAACGAAACCAGTAATCAAACTAGACAAACCTATTATAAACTTAACACAATTTGAGAGATAAGAGAGAGACAGTTGATGCTGGTTTCCGTGGTTTCCAAGTTTGACGTCTTCCAGCGAATTGTTCCTGACTGTCATGTCCCCCAAGGTAAAATTGCTCCTTACTTCGGTCCCGCCGAAAATTCAAGAAAGAAGATCGGAAAAGAATCGGAATCGGAAAGAAATAATCGGTAATGTTGAAATTTGCCGCGCGTAAAAGCTATTGTTTCTCGTTGATCGTTTTTGTCCCTAAAAGGCAAGAAACGATAAAAATATAACAATACAAAAAAAACCTATTGTTCTCGAATTCAGATCCGGTTTTAAAACTTGACATTTCTTATTTGAGCTTAAGGTGATTCCCTGGTTTTGCACTGCGCATCTCTTACTGCGCATAACAAGATGGCCTCCGTAAAAAAGAGCATGTGAAGACTAACATTATTAAAATGAAGTTGACTGAAGAGAAACGCTATTGCAATTTTTGCTTGCGGTTGTTTCTTGCCGAGGTGAGACTCAATGTGGTGGGAATGTGCATAACGTGAGCAGTACGCGTTTTGCTGAGTTCGACTTCCTCACGGAGAACCTCGATAGTGGATGTTTAATTTGTGCTTATTCACTTTGATTTTCATTTAAACGCTTTCTTTATCACATTGTGTCCTAAAAGTGATATCTCGATGTAAATTCCGTAAAAACGGATTTTTTAATACTTTCTTCCCCCTTTCGCATACATTCTATTTTGAAACTCGCCCCAGTCCTCTCTCAAAGATCAAGGGAATGCATTTGGTGCCCACTTTCTGCCGCTCTACCGCAAAAACGAGTACGGTGACCCCCCACTTTTTATTGCATGATTTTAATAAGGACAGTGCTTCCTTGCGGTGAGAAAAAAATTGGCACAAATCTATGTTCAGTTTTTTGGCAATTTTACTAAATTGTACGGATTGAGCTATCACGTGTCGAATAGCGCGTGTCCAATTTAATTCTACTTTGGAGCGTAAAGTAAAAAAAAAGGGAATTAAAAGGCATTTTTCTAGTACGTAAGTGGATAAACAATACATTAAAGTCAAATTCTCTGCGATACCACATGCATCATTGAAAAAATATTTCCTTTTTGCCTTGTTTTGGGCTGCGCGCGGTTTTTGTCAAAGGGTCCAAAATAGCCGTATTTGTCAGCATTGTGACGTCAAAACGAGCACGGTGACCCCCACTTTTTATTACCTTTTTATCATCTTCTTGACTTGTTACATCAGTGTACCAAGTTTCATCTACAATCTAGGTTAGGTTCTTTTACTAGGGAATCACCTTAAGTTTAATTTTTTTGGCTCACTGCTGTGTTCTCATTAGTTTAGTTTCAGTTAAACCTTTAAAACATCTTTGTCAGCAGACCTCAGATAGCAAAGCCTCGCATTCCGCTCTGAGTTAGTGGCAGGGAAGAAATTTTATTAATCATTCTCTCTTGAGGATACAAAATACCGTGCATTTTACCTTTTATACTACTGCATGAGAAATTTCTGCAATTTGATTGGCTTAGAGCAGTGGTGAAATACCTACATGTGAAAATTACAACCTTTTGTGGGTAGGAGTATAAACAAATAATAGCATGATTTGTACGTGATATTTGGCATAAATACCACTTGTCACATTTCAAAATTGTCTCAAATTTCACTCGCCTAACGGCTCGTGAAATTATGTATAACAATTTTGAAATATCACTCGTGGTATTTATGCCAAATATCACTACAAATCATGCTATTACCTATACATATTGCTCTCTGGAGCTCACAAGGAATAGATATATATTTTTGTAATATTTCAAGTTTTTTATTGAAACTATGCAACAGTGGAACCTCGATATAACGAAGGGCCAAGTGACTGGCAAAATTTATTCGCAATAACGAGGTTTTTTTTCATATATTTTACTATTACTGGGTAACGAAAATCGTTCGTTATATCGAGGTTCCACTGTAGTCCTTAGAACATATGAGGACAAATAAAGCCAAATATTAAAGAATAACAGTTGCTTCTAAATTTAAGCCTAAACATCAATAGTATTTTTTTGGAAATAACAAAAGAACGCGAACAAATTAGTATTTAAAACTAAACGCGCATCTCGCCTTATGCTCAAGATTTAAGGGTTACACTTATTGAACATGTTCTTTTTCTATTTCAAATTAGAATAACGACGTAAACCACTCCCAAGTCCATTCCCAAACCATTCTGATAATAGCGCCATAGAACGTAGAATACATGATTTTAATTGGCGGCCACCAGACCACATATGATAGACAGCGGATACCTAGCTCAGTAAAATCTTACCTGTTATAGCGTATCCTGAGAAAAATGATGAAGAACTTCTTGAAATAAATTAATCTTCTCAGTTCTCTTCCGAGAGAAAATAAAATCCTGATAAATAGAGCTACCTAACTCGCTTTGTGGCTTGTTGTTATTTTAAAGGGAAATGGAGAGAAATCATCTTTATGATGAATCTTAAAATAAACAAAAAAAATTCTGCGTTGATTAGATGACATATTTAATTTGTTGGGCCAACAACTGGGATGTGTTCCGAGAGTATTTTGTATACAGAAGATTTTATCAATTTAATTTGTTTGAAATTGCTGCCCTCTTTCGTGATTTTTTATTTTGCTCCAGTGTACGACTTAACCATTGCAGCTATAAAGTATCTGAACTCCTGATTAGCAACTCATGTAAAAAGAGTTTATCACGACCGGAAATATAAAATGGGGCCTTGTCGATCTACATAGCGCTGAGAATGAAAATTTCAATTAAAATAAAATCCATTCATTGGCGTTTTTAATTAGGTGCATGGAGTAAATGACATCCATTCTGTCTTCGAATCTTTGATCCACAGGGAAATGCAGCATTGTAATGAGTGCACGCTGGCGTTCCAGTTAGATACAAAACCTTCCCTCGAGTTGATTTTACCTGAAACACCGCCGCCCTGATTACGTCTTTGATTCTAACCACTAGTTAGAATAAACAAGATACGTGTGCTGGTAGACCTACATAACTTTTATGATGCTTTTGTGAAAATCGTTTGCATGAGAACTTTTCAATTTTAATTTTTTGAGAAACTTAAGTGTGGAAGAATGACATTTCATAAGTAGGTTGAGTATGATCATAGTTATTTTTATATCACCTGAGAAATATCTAATTCCTTGGTGTTTCTTCAGTTTGCCGATTATTTTCATATATATTTTTGTCGCGCATAATGCAAAGGGACTTTAACATTTTAAAGATTGAGGCACAGGGAATTTTTTAGAAAAAAGGATATGTCGTGGTTTAATTTTATCCTTGATTCAAATTTGACTCTCCTTTGTTTCGATTTAAACTCATTATCATACATCAACATAACAAAAATGGGAAAAATAAATGTTGAACGAGACGAAAATTTGAACCACAACAGATCCACCACAACAGATTTGTGGAAACAAATACAATTGACACCAGACTGGTACTTAAAATGTCCTACCCCAAATGGGGTACATCTTACACATACCGATGAGCCTGTTTCAGGCTCCGAGTCCGGCCCGCTGAATTGAGAACGCGCGAACACGAAAACAAAACGGGAGGAAACTGCCCCGCCAACTTTTCGTGTGCCTTTTGCTCTCGCGTCTTCCCCACTATCCAGACTATCTGAGAGCCTGGAACAGGCTATACACATACAGTCAACGATTCCTCTGTTTTTTTAAATTAGCTTGTTTTAGACATCCTCGTTTTACATCGATTTTACACATGTTGACTTCGGGCCAAAACGTGTTGGAAAGTAAGCGACCTGCCAGGACTAGAATTTGCCTATCAAATTTTAAGATGATAGAGAAACTCCAGAGACAGTTCTCGCTTGTATCCCCCTTGTATGAAATACATGGTCATCCAAGGAGAATAAGCGGACTGCGCCCTTCAAGAAATTTTATGGGCAATTTGCATATTTTTTAAACTTGGGTTTTCGGATTGACGCCAGATTTGCAACAAACGTTTTGGGTCTTCTTATTCCGGAATACGATCAATCGAACCCACCCTAAACTAATTAAAGAAAGCTGAGAATCGTGGCGCATGTCAAATAAGAATAATAATGATGAAAAAAATACCTAAAACCTCTATGTTGTTCGTCCAAAATTTTGCATAAGCTTTCTTACAATTCCTCTTAGGATGATTGTAGGTCCCGAGAGGAATTGTTGACTTAGGCCTTAGTACCAGTTTTCATGATCAGCAAATTGAAAAGCACGTCGATCCTTTGCTGCCGGTAGCAACTGGAAGCAAATTGGTAGACGTATGTCATTTGAACATATTTGATCAAAAGGCGTAAGTTTACTGTAACATCCGCAGGCAATCTGTTTGTCAGTGTCTTTAGCAGCTGCAAACAACAAATGATACAAATGATCGTAACATGCCTTGACCATACTGTTGCTATTATAAACTTTCATCCTATTTTGATCACTGTCACGTTTTGAGAAGATTATAATTGATTTACATCTCACAAAACTAATTTTGTTTGCTTCTTAAACAAAGATGTCTGTGTACATAACCCGAACCATTTTCTAGAAAATATTTGGTCTATTTATTTTTAAACCCCATGGTAAGCTAGTAGAGATATTGACCTACAGCTGAAATTTGGATTCCTTATCAATTTACAGGTAAAAAGGATGTTTTTTGTGATGTTATATGACATAACGTGCTTGTTGTTTGAGGGTATGATACGCATAAGTGAAAGTTACATGTATCTCAGGTTGTCATTCTCCTCGAATATTCTTAACTCAAACTCCGACATATATATACAAAGCGACCGAAGTTCGCATATTTTGATAGTACTTAAACTGGAAATCCTCCCGACCCATTAAACAGAAATCAAACTAACACAAGGAATAAAATC